TTTAAGTGTAACTAATTAAATAAAGAGTTAAATTTTATTTATAACAGTTTGTAATATTCACTTACTTCGTTATTATTTTTATAACAGATTGTAGTTATAAGTAATTGTTGCACTAAATGCTTGAATAACTGCACTACTAATGTTTAAATTATAACTTTTTTTTATTGTTATTTAGGTGCCCCAAGAATACCTAACGGTCTTGTCACAGTGCACCGGGGAAGTGCATTTAACCTGAAAGTTCACGCCTCCTTCTTTATTGTTACGCGAAAATATGTTCAAGGCTCGTTTCGAACCTGGATCTCCTGCCTCTAACCACTGCGCCACGGCCGCACGGTTAACTTAATAAACTAAGTTAGTTAGGTTATAATAAAAAAACTTAAATTTGAATTCATTTTCATTTCTCAGATTTTATAATTGTTTTACTAATAATTTGACCCGTGTCACGTGCTGTAATCGAATAAAAATGGAATAGAACGAGGCAATCGAATTTTTTATAGATCGAGAATCGAATATTAACATTCCTTGTTAATTATATAGCTAACGATACAGTAAGAGCCGGTAAACAATAATAAACAATATTTAAAAATGTTTTTATGTTATCAGAAACAGTTAGAATAAGATTGATACTTAGAAAATGATATTTATTTAAAGTTGAAGTAATATAATACCGATGATAAAACCGACAAATGATCATATTTTCATCCAGCAAATCAAAATAAGATATGTAAAAATATCATCAATCATAATTAAGATACAATATTTAACTTTTTTAGTATATTTTTGCGAGGCCCCTTTAAGCACGAGGCCTTCGGAAGTCGCCAGTCGCCGAAGCATAACGCCGCCACTAATAACATAAGTCATACATAAATTTAGCAATATGATACTATAAAGGGTATAATTGCTATAAAACCGACAAGAGTATAAAATGGCTGATGACAATGTCAAGTATAATGTTATTTTCAATAAATTAGTTTCTAAGTAGGAGGATTTCACCATTTTAAAAGTTTTTTCTGAAAAAGTTCTAAGGGTTCTCTTTATCGGTTTTTAAAAATTTGAATTGGAAAAACGTGTTAAAAAAGACGCCATTGACTTGAATGATGTTTAAAAAATTTAGTGCTAGTGACATTATAGCCCAAGATGCCATATATCACTCTAGGATGCTACATATCACTCAGAGATGCCAAATACTACTCTAAGATGCCACATATCGCTAAGAGATGCCACATGTTACTCTAAGATGCCACATATCACTCCAAGATGCCGCATATCACTATAAGATGCCACGTATTGCTCTAAGATGCCACATATCACTCTAAAATGACACATATCACTCTATTTGCTTGCTAAGTCTCTATAGAAGGTCTAACCCAGTAAGCACAGAACGTTTTTAAAACGTTTAAAAAACCAATGAAAACGGTCTTTAACGTTTTTTAAACGTTTTTAAAACGATCTGTGCTTACTGGGAACGTAAAAGAGACTAGTTAAATGTCATATAATAACTTAGGCAAACAAATCAATGATCAGGTGTTTCGTGAATAGCCACAGTATATTGCTGGGCATTATCACTGTATAAAAAATCATCACAAGACATTTTGTAAATGTGTAAAAGTAATAATTTTGTATATGTGGCGGCATTTGTGAGCATTAAAATTGTAATTTACCATAGTTTACGTAAAATTTCTATATAAAAACATAAAGTACTTATGTTTACATCTTTTTAATTGTTTATTTAACAGTTTCGAATGTTAAACTATATGTGCAATTAGAACATACAAATATCATTCAAAGTTTGGTACAGAAACCTAACGCTATTACGTCATGATGTTTATGCTTTTGAAGCCCTGCATTAGAATGCTTTATATTTTATGAACTTTTGAAATTGAACTTGCGAATCGATTTATAAATTGACCATTTATATGAAAATAAGTTTGAACAACAACAACAAAAAAATAGTTTTTAGGGTCCCTGCCAATTTGATTTTGGGCCAAAAGTGTTGGGTGTTTTAAACGTCTGGCGGGGACCTTAAAATTAATCCTATAAAATTTTTTTATTATTTTAAATATTATACGTTGGATTGAATATCAATCATATAAAAAGAGCATCTTGAAAAAATTAAAAAAATTAACCAACAGAATCTTCTGATATTGGTGAAAAATCCAATTTTTCCTTCACAAAAGCCTATTTTTTCACTAGGTGGCGTATAAAAAACGTTCTTGATTTTCTAATATAGAGTTTCCAGATACGGAAAAATCTACAGACCGGATATTTTTTATAATAGTGTCAAATTAAGTCTAAAAAAAATAATTTAACCCATGGAGCAACCTGCCCCGGACACTAACCATAATGGCCCCTACTTAATAAACATTAAAGCACAATAAATTTAAAATCTGGAAATTTGATCGGAAAATACCATCAAAAAATTTATATAGTAAGTACTTAAACAATAATTTAAAGTCTAACTTTTAAATGCTACGACATTTAAAACTTTTCGTTTTAAAAGTATTAAAAATTTACTAATAGCAAGTAGTCTAATATTTTTTTAAAATTGATAAAATTACATGACAAATTGAATATTCAAAATTGATAAAACTACATGACAAAATTGAATATTCAAAATTGATAAAATTACATGACAAAATTGAATATTCAAAATTGATAAAACTACATGACAAAATTGAATATTCAAAATTGATAAAATTACATGACAAATAGCTGGAGCGTATTTAATTGAAGAAGAAAACCTGAGAGAAAACTTACCTCGAATAACTTTTGCAACAAATAAAGAATTAGTTCTTAACTTTTAGTTTAAAATATCTAACTCCGTCCAAAAAGTTTATTGGTTTTACTGATGGGCACGATAAATTCGCAAAGTGTTCCGGTCTTGTCAATTGCCCTGTCAACTGTATTCTTTTTGCAGTAAAAAAACCTTGGTTAGACGGAGGTTACATATATGGATTATTAAAGGATAAATCTATAAGGTATGTTTTACAATTTCAATTTATAAATAAATAATTATAAAAATATTTTTTTATAATTGTTTTTACGTATGGGTTTATAGCTAAATAATATAATGATTAAAAGGTGGTCTGATTAATTATTGATTAAATAAAATTTCTTTTTATCGAACAATATAACAAATATGTAATATGATGAATTGTGTCATTAATATTTTAATTTCATTTAATATATTATCGTAATTTTTATAATCTCACTCGTTGATAATCTCACTCGTTTAATCGATAGTTGACAGACATTAAAGAAAAGTAAAAGTATGAACTCTAAAGCAGTAATCTACGAAAGAATTCAAAAAGAAGGGGGAGCAGATTTTTTGAATTGGTAAAGATAATATTAAGGAAATCTTTAAAAAAACGAGCTTTCATATTATGCTGATACCAAAAATCCAGTCGCCTTATGACTTTGGGGAGCAAAGACAAAAGATATGAGACTGTAAATAACGAAAAGAAGCAGTTGAAAAATTGTAATATTAAACAATTATCCCAAGTAAACGAATCAAATAGAGAGCTTTTAGACATAAGTGATATTAGTATAGAATCAGATGTTTCTTTTGATTTAGCGCAACCCGGCCCAAGTAATCAAAAGCAAGACTTAAAGAAGGGTTTTGTTTAAGATATTGCTATGACATCAGTATCAGAAAATATTTTATTAAGAGATCTAATGCATGTATGTACAGATTTAAACGTATATTCAGGCGGAAATGTGGCTGATTTTTCATTGATTCATTTAACTATTTGGCGTGCTCAAAAAAAAATATATTCGGGAAAATGCTGAATAATTAGAAAATGTTAAAATTGCTACCAGGACAGCTATTTTTCCCATAATAGCACAATTTGATGGGAAAATTATCAAAGATAGCACAGAAGGTAAACAATTAAAAAGAGATCGATTTGCAGTCTCGGTAATTATGGTAAAAAGAAGCTTCTTTGAATTCCAGTTATTGATCGTGGTACTGGACAAGCTAATCTTGAGGCAATAAAACTAGTAACAACAATACCACTTTTAACCATGTTGCAGTAAGTTCATTAAGTCTTTTTGTCTATAGATGAACTAAAATAAATTATTAGATTAGTGTAAGGGTCAGGTTACCTCCAAGGATAAAAGAAAATATTTTTAAGACCTATATAAAGCTCATTTGACACTATTATAAAAACTATCTAGGTTATTGTTTTTGCCGCGATCGGAAAAAAGTTTATTAGGAAATCAAAAATATTTTTTATACGCCATGAGTTATAAAATTGGTTTTTGTAAAGAAAAATTTGGATTTTTTAGAAGATTCTGCAGACTAGTTTCTTAATTTTTTCTTTTTTTTGCTCAAACTTATTTTTTACTTTTTTATTTTTTAAATGGTTTATTTATAAATCAATTCGCGAGTTCAATTTCAAAAATTTATAAAATATGAAACACCTTTTTTTAGCTGGCATAGTTTGAGAAACATCAGTTAGATTCCATTGGTTTCTTATTTATTTTTAAAAGAAATTTATTTAGTGGAAACAATTTTTCAATTTGCACTAAATAGTTAAAACACTGAAAATCACATAGCCTCAATAAAGACGTTAGTAAATATAAGTAAATATAAGTAAGCTAGAACTTTTAATCTTTTTTTAAATCTTTAAGCATCGGAGAATGCCTTGTAAATGTTTTAAGCACGAGAAAATGCCTTTTAAATGTTTAGACAGTAATGCAAGCAAAATAAGTTTATAAGCAAAAAATAACAAAAAACAAACAATTCGCTTTTATATAATTTGAAGGTAATTATAAAACTTGACGTGATAATTTAAACTTTCATTTTGATTTATTTAGTTTTTTACATTTCTTTAAAATATCTTTTCATGTATTATTTATCAACCAGCGTTAATAGAATATTTTCAATTATAAGAATGTTGCAGTATCCCCATAAAATAATTTTGGTCACTCGTAATTGTTTTAATTCCAATTATTATTAACAATTTTAATTTAAATTATTGAAAGAATTTTATTTATACCTTTCCCCGTGTAAATAACAATAGATCCATATTGTTCCCATTTTTCTCCATCTTCTACAATAGCAATCTGGGCTCCACGTTCATACGTAGATAAAATGTTTTTTATAATTGTCAAAGTTAAAACTAAATTCAATAAATAGCGCATTTTTATTAACTCCAAATATCAATAAAATTAGTCTTTGAGTTGAGCATGTCAAAGAGCTTAACCATAACGAAAACTGAAAGCATATTCTCGTTGAACATAATTTTAAGGCCTGTAGTGAGTTTTACTTGAAGCACGATTGCAAAAACATATATATATATATATATATATATATATATATATATATATATATATATATATATATATATATATATATATATATATATATACATATATTATAAACATGTTAATATGAAAACTAAATTAAAAAAAATTAGTAAAATTATTGATGCAAATATAAATATGCAATAGTATAAAAATTTTTTAAAAATATAATCACCTTGACAAAGCTGAATAATAATAATATCGTTTAGAAAAGAAGCCTGGGTACTAATTTCACAACAAAGAACTTATGATTGTTTAATAATAAAAACATTATTAAGTCCAAAACATAAAAAAAAAAATTTTGATGAAAAAATAAAGCATTCGATACTGTTTCGACTGGTGATGGGTCGGGTCTAAAATAAAATAAGATCCGGTTGACATTGGTCTGGGTCGGGTATGCATCTTATAAAATGCTAATCCGTTATGCCCAGCGATTATTGTTTTGATTATTGTACGATTATTATCCAGACCCAATGATCATTGTCTTGACTAAATTATATATATTTTACTTTTCCGAAACTATTAGATATATTCAAAACTTTTTATATGCGCAAATATTTTTGTTATTATTATTTATTTATTTAGGTAGTGGAATAAGTTGCTTTTAAAAACATAGTTTGACTGGAAAGCTTTTAAATCATAGGCCAGTACAAAATTTTATACTTTTATGGACTTCTGTCCCTAAGTAACAGAACAGTGTTTCAAGACTAAAGTAGGTTCAGATTATTAGTAAATCGAAGAAAGTAACGGTTAATTGCACTTTTAGGGAAAAAGTTTTTCCCTAAAAGTGCAATGTTTTAAAGATGAGATATCCTTGTAAGAACTTGCTGAAAAATAGACTAAAATAACTTAGGTTTGATTAATAATATGCAGAAAAACTTATTTCTAATTACTTATATGCAAATATGCAAAACTATTTGAGTTTAACTAATATTTTGAATTAATATTACTTAAAATAAATTGAATTAAACCAAAACGTACCAAAAAATTAAGCCAGTAGACATATCAATATCTCTTTGCACAATTAAAAAAATTTAAAGTTAGTTAACCAAATACAGAAACACTGGGTTCGAGCATAAAACACTGGGTTCGAACACATTTTAGCTAAGGGAAAAATACTCGCAGAAGGCTCAGGAAAAAAAGTAAATAAACATTAAATTTGCTATAATTTATATAAAATATATTTCTAGATATATAAAATTTCATATATTTACATATATTCAAACAATTCTAAGATTTATACTATGAGCTGAAACGCTAAACAATTTAAAAATTACAAAACAATTTTATTTTACGATAAATATTCTATCCAAAATTATTCAAAAAGTTATTCAAAAAAATTTTTTTTCTAATAATTTAATTATATTATTTATATAAAAATTATCTAAAATACAAAACAATTTAAAGAGTATAAGATTTATAAAAAAAGATCTACCGTATTATGATTTAAACTATTTCCAAAGTAGCATCAGGATAATCAGAATACATCTTTTTATAGCGTTCAAATAATTCTTTAAGACGTTCAATATACAATGCATGCAGTGCATCGACATCAGCCTGTTGAGGATTAACATTTTTAAAAACACGAATTGGAGCACCAACTAGAAAAAAAAATCATTAAAATCAACTAGCTAATTAGTCAAAGTTCTTTGACATTACAGTAAAAGTTCTTTGACATGAACAGAACTTAAATAGTATAAAATCAGTATATGCAATTTTAATGGGCTACTGGTATATTTTCTGGAGTAAAACAAGGCAACAGTAATTATTGGCCATTTTTTACTTCCTGATTCGGGAGGTATTGTAGCCTTAAATAGATACACCACAATAAAAAACAAAAAAAAACAAACAAACAAGTCTTTAAATGTTATTAGACTTTTTTATTTAAAACTTTTTAGATTGAAGTTTAACACCGTTTATCGACTTTTATTTAACAGTTAAACAAATTTTAGTTACTTGGGTTATAATCAAACAATGAATTAAACAGCTACTCTTGAGTCCTTAATACAAGGAAGGAAGGGAGGGGGCGGAGGAGTAGGGGAAACGTTTATTATTTTTTGGAAAAATTTCCCACCCACCCACAGTGGGCCAGGTGGTGGAAAAAAGTATACAAAAAATATTCTCAAAAATGACATTGTTATATACCATTTATAAGCTTAAACATCCGGCTTTTATAAAATGTATATATTTCTGTATAACTATCATGCCGTTTGCATTTAAAGCTTTTAATAAAAAAGGTATTTTTTTTTTCAAGTTTTTTTTTTTTGTTGTTTTTTAATTTAATAATATTTTTCGTGTTAGTAATAAGCATAAAATTGGTATTAATTATTAAAACTTCATTTTTTTATTGAATAATTAAATAAAACTAAGTATTATCTATCAAATGAGCTATTGCAAAATTATTTTGCACCTAGGCTAAATCCACGACCATCATCAACAATGTCCCGTAGACCTCTGTGTTTTAAATTTGAAAAAAAAAGCGGCAGCAGTTTCTAAATCAGAATTGGAACTCATTAGGGTTGAGATTTCAAACTTGCAAGATACTGAAGTTGATATAAATAATAAAAAAATCAAAATATATCATATAATACAAATTACTATGATTGATAGAGAAGTTCATACTGCTCTTTCAGATGTTACAAATTCAGGTCAATGCTGTACTATATGTGGGGCAAGCCCTAAAGCAATGAATGATATTGAAAAAATGGTTTTGAAAAAGGGTATGGCAGGTAGTTATTCATTTGGTTTATCATCCTTACATGCTTGGATAGGATTTTTTGAATGTTTATTACATAATAGATATAAAATAACTTTGAAAAAGTGGCAGGCAAGAATAGCAGAAGATAAATCTAAAGTAAAGGCTCTGAAACAACAAATTCAAAATAGATTTAAAGATGAAATGGGCTTGATAGTTGATGTTCCGAGATCTGGTGGTAGTGGAACATCAAATGCTGGAAATACGGCTCGAAGAGCATTTCAAAATGCGGAAAAGTTTGCAGAAATTTTAAATATTGATGTTGAACTGATTCTAAATTTGCATATTATATTGGCAACAATTTCATGTGGTTTAGATATTGACACTGATAAATTTGAGGCTTTCTGTTTAAAAACAGCTCAACTTTATGTTCATCATTATCCTTGGTACTATATGCCACAATCTCTCTACAAAATTTTAATCGATGGTTCTGAAATTATCAAAAGTTTAGCATTACCCATTGGTATGTATTCTGAAGAAGCTCAAGAAGCACGCAATAAAGACTTTCAAAACTATCGTGAACAATTTGCAAGAAAATCATCTTGTGTGAAAACTAACCAAGATTTGTTAAATCGACTTCTGTGTACATCTGATCCAACGAAAAACTAACCAGCTGGAGTTATTGACTTATTGAGGTCACCCACAGATGATATTAGTTTATAAATGTATCTTTTGTATCTTTATAATTTTGGAAATGTCTGTACCTATATGAAAGTGTGACTGTAAATTAAAACAATTAGTTATGCTCAATCCTATTAGAATCATCAAATTAATTTACATACCAATTTTAGAAACATTTGGCTAAAAATAACCCTTAGGAACTAAGCATAAATATGTGTTGCTATGCAAATGGGGTTGCCTTGGCAACCACACCAAAAAACAATGCTCATTTAAATTATAATCATCCAATTAATTTATATACCAATTTTTGGGGCCTATGGATGAAAGGAAAAAAAGTTATAACTTTTTTCCAAAAATATGGGATTCTGGCCACTGTGCCACCCTAAGCTTATCAAGACCGCTTTATTAAGAGCTTATTAAGAGTTTATTAATTTTTTACTATCAACAAAAAATCTCAAAACTAAAAAAATAAATTCAGTAAAAATCGGCCTTAAAAATTAGAAAATAATTCTTTCAGTCACCGATAAAAACAAAAACTTTCAGTGTAAATATGCTTTAAAAATTATCGACCTAGTAAATCTCGATTTGTCGAAAATGAGGTTTATTTCTTACTAAACTATAAAACTTATATCAGCATATTAAGCTCCATTATAACCTGGCCATTATAACCAATAAATTTATTATTAACCCTATTGAAATTATGATAAAACAGCTGTTTGAAAATGCACAAAAAATCAAGGCCTATTACTTGAGCGCCGCGATTTGAACAACTTATTTTGGCTAATTTTTCATTTATCGAACTAGTTGAACAAATTTAATAATTTCTAACTTACTATATATAAATACTGAAGGTAGAACTATTTTAAATAAATACTGAAGAACTATTTATCAATCAGGAAGTAATATAAAAGATTTTGATTAAAAATACTTTATTTAAAAAAATTTCAAACATCAAAATTTTTGTATCTAATTACTCAATTGTAAAATTTTTTGAAATTAAAAAAACGTGGATTGTAGAGCTTTGAGAAATCATTTTAAAAATTTTTGACGAGATTTTAAAATTTTTCATACAAGACATGTTTTTTATAAAACCCCAAAAAATAAAAATGTCGAATGATTGAAAATAGTAAATTAGGGAATGTGAACAAACTGGTAAAATCAGATCCAGTGCAATAAAATGTACATAACAAAAGAAAGTAAATTGACATAAAATGTCAGTTGGATTTGTCAAACCACCTCAATCTAAGTCATTGAGATAAGCACCAGACTCTTTACAATATGATTATTTATCAGTGTCAAGATCTTCATAACCAGTCTTTAATTGTCATAGCCAGCAATGTATACTAAAGCCATTTAACAGCATCGGTTAAACTAGATTCTAATGTTCAAAGAATCAAATATTTCACTTTCTTTTTGCATCAATTGCCTCTAATAGTCGATGCAACTATGACCAACATTATTATGACCAAATTTATGACAACTGTTCATAAAAGTCTAAATCATATTGTAAAGGTAGTTTTGAGTGTTTGACTTTAATTTTTTTTAAGACTTGTTGAACCGAAATAAAATATGCACCACCAGCACCCTGACACAACTTACTAAAAGCTTTTTAAGTAGGGTCGGATGTAAAGTCACCAAGCTATACAAATTTGTGTGATGTACATAACAAATATTTTGCTAATTCAACTATTAGGCTGGCATAGATGTACTTATAATACATTGTTTCCAGTTTAGGATGTCAAATGCTGGATCTTCTTGACTCAATGCATGGGTTTTGCTTGTGTCTGTTTTTATGACAACTTATTCTATTATCTCCTAATGAGGGTACAGCTCTAAAACTCAGTTTCACAGTTCTGAGGCCAGCTGGTAGTCAGGTTTCCCAAACTCTGTGGTAGGTCTCAATGAGGCTGATTTCATCAACAGCTGTAAAACATCAGAGTACTAGCAGTGCCATGTTGCGCATGGATGGTGTCCCTGTTCGTACTTTTGGTGTGCATTTAGAGCCCTTTGTTACAGTTTAGGGTTTATTAATATTAATGACTTGTTTGGACTGCTAGATAATGTACTGAGTACTATTTGTGCTTTGAGTCAAGTTCTTTAACAAATTTAAAAATGACATTTGAGTAATTATTTACATATGTTATTATCCTATGCTTAAAATTAACATTCCATGCTTGAAATTAACATAGTTAAAAAAAAATTAAAAAGTTAAAAGAATAAAAAGTTATGTATTCTACTAAAATTAAAAGCAATGGATTTTACAATTAAAGATATTATTAGCTGTTTCAAATATTTAACAAAAGAAGAAAATATAAATAATGCTTTACTTTTCATAGCTTCTAGAGTTTGTATTAGTGATGGTAAAAAAGAAAACTTAGTACAAAAGTTAAATGGAGTTGAATCGAATTACCAAAGATTTTGGAGAAATTCATTAAGAAACAGTTTTTTTCCGAAACGCAGTTTTTTTTGAGAAGAAACATGAAAAAATGGTTAAATCAAAAGTTTGAAATAGACTATTCGTCATTGGAATTGGCACAAAAGGCCGACCAAAAATAATATAATGGCCGACCAAAAAAAGATTTTGATAATATGAGTAAGAGAAGTAAACATCGGATAATTGCAGGAGAGCATACAAATTCAAATTTTGATTCAACTGAAAAATCATTTTTATAGCCCGTAGAAAAGTATATAATCAAAAAGATTTTTCTTTATTTGATGTGTTAACACATGTCATCAAAAATCATAAAGATTCACATCATATGTTTGTTCAGTTGACAAATGACAATGATAAAATGACAGGTAAAAAAGCCGCTGCAATAATAATTGACGTAGATATTAGCATATCTGGCTAATAACAAATCAAACAGACATCTAAAATAAGATCCATCTTATTCAACAGTTAAAAGAGCACTTAAGTTGTGTGGTCCACAGGAAAATTACTTGGAAGTCAGTGATTTAAGAGTCAAAGTAGATTTACAAGCACTTATGAATTGTTATGAATACTGCTGAAAGAATAGTAAAAATGAGGCAAAAAGAAATAATGGATTATTTGGATATCACTAACAAACTAAGTGAAAATATGTCGCTTTTAAACAGTTGGGGTAACAGTTGTCAACCAAGCGTTTTCCAATTCTGTTGACAGTCAAGGATTTTTGCAGATTCAAGCATTTTTACAGTTGTAACAACACCTTTGAGTGTGTCAAATTCTTTTTGTGGACCAACTTA